ATTCATATTGATATTTATGAAAAGATTTCATTTACATATCGAAGAAGTTTTTTAATTCCACTTAAATATCCATTTTTACCTGTGCATCGTATTGCTGTTCAACTTAATATTCCACGTACAAATGATAGACAAGAAAATTGTTTAGATCAACCATGTATACATGGTCAATGTATTAGATATTTAAATGATAAAAGTTTTTGTCAATGTTATCATGAATGGACGGGAAAATATTGTACTATTCCATATAGATGTACATGTTCATCTGATTCATTATGTATTGGTATATCATCAAATAATCGATCGATTTGTATTTGTCCACTTCATAAATGGGGTTCTCAATGTTTACTTCATAATACAATATGTTATTCGAATCAAAATGCTACTTGTCAGAATAATGGTAAATGCATACATATTGATGAAAATATCATCTCTGATAAGCCATTTATATGTATCTGTCCAAAAGGATTTAGTGGAGAAAGATGTGAAATAGTTGATAGTAAAATAATTCTCTCATTTCATAAAGATATTATTTTACCACAAATAATGTTTGTTCATTTTATTCGAGCGATTGATAATGGTCCACATGAAAATGGTTCTACTTTCAAAACTATTCTTGCTAATCAAAAATCAGTTACTATTCAATGGCCACATCCATTTCATGTCGCTTTTCTTGATTTTTTCAATAATAACTACTATTTAATTATTGTTCAAAATAAATACAATCCATCGACAAGAATTATTCGAACAATTACTCGATTAGATCATTGTAAACATATAAGTGAAATATTAAATGAAACTATCATGAAACTTCATCCTCTTCGTCGTATCAAATATTATCAATTGCCATGTCAAAAACGTTCACCACTTTTATCTTGTTTCTATGATGATAATCATTTTTGTTTCTGTAATGATTATGATCATCAACGTTTAACTAATTGTTTTGAATTCAATCATGGAATTGAACATAATTGTTTTGGTCAAAGTAATTGTGAAAATGATGCACATTGTTTACAAGACAAAGCAACTTGTCCACAAACATCTATATGTGTTTGTCCAAAATGTTTTTATGGAGCAAGATGTCAATTTACTTCAAATTTATTTGATCTTTCACTCGATGCTATCTTAGGTTATTATATTCAACCACGTATAAATATTAAACATCAACCATCTATTGTACAAGTCAGTGTGGCATTAACAATAATCATTATCATAGCTGGAATTACTGATAGCGTTCTATCGATAATCACATTTGGAAATAAAGAATCACGTAAAACTGGTTGTGGTCTCTATTTGTTGACTTCGTCAATTATTACTTTATTTATTATGGTTATTTTTGCATTGAAGTTTTGGATACTTATCATTGCA